TGAGGTCGTGGCCAGTCTCGAATACTAGCCACCTTCGCATCTTCCGGCCTAATTCCCTGCGCGGATACTTCATGACCCAAGTATAGTATCTTAGTGCGACCGAACTCACACTTCTCTAAGTTGACCTTATACTTGTGCTGTCGCAGGAGTGAGAGAACTGTCTCAACATGCTTTGCGTGCTCCTCGGCAGACTTACTAAAGATCAGAATGTCGACTAAGTAGACCACAACAAACTTATCTAAATGGTCATGGAAGATCCAATTCATAGCGTGCTGGAATGTACCCGGCGCATTGCAAAGACCAAAGGGCATCACTACAAACTCATACAGACCATAACGAGTCTGAAAAGCTACCTTGTGTTGGTCCTCAGGTCTTATTGCGATTTGGTGATATCCGGATTTCAAGTCTATCTTGCTCTAGTACTTGCATCCTTGCACCCTATCCAATAGGTCGTCTATGCGAGGTAGAGGGTCTGCGTTTTTCACAGTGATGGCATTGAGGCCTCTATAATAAATGCACATCCTCAAAGTACCCCCCTTCTTCGGTACGATTAGAACGGGTGATCCGTAAGGGGAAGTACTAGGCTGAATCCATCCCTTCTCTGTCAACTCCTTTAGTTGCTTCCGAAGTTCATCTAACTCGGCAGGGGCCATCCTATAGATCCTTCTCTTTGGGGTCTTACTCCCTGGAATGATTTCTATAGCGTGGATGACTTCCCTATCAACAACTCCTGAAGGCTCTTCGAACAGATCAGGGAACTTAGCAACGACGTGTTCTATCTCTGGGGGTGTTTTAACGGCCTCCCCCTTCTCAGAGACATAAACAAGGTACATACCCTCCTCTTGGTTTTGCTTATAGTAGTTGTAGAACGCGGATGCGCACAAGCAGCCATAGGTATCTATAATACTACTGGCCTTGAACTTGATCAATCTGACAGTTCGGCCATCGGGCAACTTGTGTTTGAGCACCTTCTTATCCCAGTCGGACTGGGGCTTAGCAATTTCGAGGTAGTACATGCCTAACAGCATATCGAATGGCAAGTCGTCGCTAACCAAGAACGAGATCTTATGGTTAAGCTCACCTCCTCCATAGGAGAAGGTACATACTACGTCCTTGATGTAGTCTGTTACAATCATGCACTCCTTGTTGGCCAAAGTAGATGCTACTGGTCTACTAAGGTGCCGTACCCGGTCCTGTAAGTGCAGCCTTTCCAAACAGTCGCGACTTATGTAATTCCGCGTGGAGCCTATGTTTATGAAGGCACCACATTTGCGGCCTCCTACATCGACCTCCACCACGAAATGTTCCCCTCTAGGACCTTTCCTTAGTGCCACCCAAGACTCACAAGGGTCCTTGTTTGACCACTCATTCTCTAAGTCTTCTAAGGCTTCAGACACATCTAACATACAGAGCATAGTTTGGTCTAGTTGTATCTGCGGGGTGACTAAGGGGTCATTAGCTTTGGCCTTGTCATGAAGTGGGGAGGGTATCAATCCCACTTCATCTTGAGTCGAAGCGGCTAATACTTCCACTGACCCTACGCGTTTCCCGAGCTAGAAGCCTGGAAGTAGGTTGCCCCCATTTTTGGAGCTACCTTCTGCGTAACCTTAGCGTTCTGACACTTGTATTGCGAGTGTCCGTACTCCCCGCAGTTGATACAAGCACCACGCGTTCGGCGGTCATGCCACACGTCTTGTTCAAGACCCGCCTTTACCCACTCAGCCTGCTTGGTCTGATTGGAGGCGGCCTTCCCTTGACCCCTAGGCTGGCCCTTCCCTCGGCCTGCCGCCTTAGTCTTTACTACCGCGGCGAGGGTGCTACCCTCAGCTACCTCCTCGCCGTCATACTCTGAGTAGTCCATCAGGTCAGAGAGTTCATCGATGTCAGTTTGAGTCCCATCAGACTCAACCATCATCAACTTCGCCCCCTTCTTCTTCCACTCCGGAGAACTCTTCTTCTTCTTTGAGTCATTCCCTGAGGTGGGTTGAGCATTGCCTAGCGTGGCCTCCAAGTCTAAGGCTTTCCTAGACAGTGTCTCAAACGAGTGGTACTCAGTGCGTGCCTAGCTGGCTAGCAAGTTCCTAATGTTCTCTGGGAGACATCTGACAAACGTAGTCAATAGGAACTGATCGCTGTAGTTGATGCCTGGGACGAGGATCAGGCTCTCAACGGTAGTCGTAAGCTCTCTAACTGACCTGAACTTGCGTTGGTCTAGTTTGTTAATGGTATCAGTGGCCTTTTGAGCCTCCTGTGGGTTATGCCATCGAGCTTCTACCATTTCCATGAACTGGTCCAGAGTCAAAGACTTGGCCCAATCCGCCATGCGTCGCCCGTACCCGGCTTTCACAACTACCCCATCTAGCCATTTGGCTGCCTTACCCTCTAGGTAAGATGGCGCAGTTACCACTTCGTCCTCAGGCAAGGTCCTCTTTGCCTTCACCCAAACCGGGACCGTTCTCAACCATGTGTTGAGTTCCTCGTCCTTTCTCTCGCCTGAGAAGGCAAGAGGCGGTTCCATCGGGGTCTTGGGATACCATTGACCTTGCGGCTGTCCAGATTGCTGAACAGATTGTTGTGGTGATGTAGCAATCACCACTGGACCCAAAGAAGAAGACGCATTCTTTCCATGTTCTAGCTTAGGATTCATTCTCATTTTGCACACTCGGAGAGTAGTGCAGCGAATCCCAAGCACACACACACACACACACACACACACACACACACACACACACACAGGCGGACAGACAGATGGGACGAAGTTTGCCCATGTGTCTGTGTGTGTGCATGTGTGTCAGAGAGAGAGAGGGGAAAAGAGTGTGCGTGTGTGTGTGCGTGTGTGGGCATTACAGAGAGAGTGCGGCCAAGAGAGTGTGTGGGTGTGCGCATGGGTGTGTGGCAGAGGGAGAGTACAGTCAAGACTCTGCCATGGCCACTGGCAAGAGCCGAGAAAATGGTGCGCAGTGTAGCTATGGCGCACATGTTTTGAAAAAAAAAAAAAGAAAAAAAAAAAAACGACGAACTTTTCGATCGTTCTTCGTTTTTTGTCTCTCTCTCTCTATCTGTCTTTTTCTCTTTCTCTCTCTCTCTCTCTCTCTCTCTTCGTCTCTCTCGCAGCCGCGTACTGACCTGCGCGAATGTGGCGTCTTGATTGAGGTAAGTGACGCGTCTCTCTCTCTCTCTCTCTCTCTCTCTCTCTCTCTCTCTCTCTCTCTCTCTCTTTCTCACTTTCTCTCTCTTTCTCTCTCTACTTCACTCGCCATATATACTGTGGCCGAGGGGGGAGGTTTCATTATGAGGCGCTTGAGCTTGAGCAACCTCAAATCCTCAGCACGCAGACGAGAGAGAGTAAGAGAGAGAGATACCATACCATATCCGAGGGAGAGGGAGACGCCATCGAAGAAATTTTCGAGCGAGAGAGAGAGAGAGAGAGAGAGAGAGAGAGAGAGAGAGAGAGAGAGAGAGAGAGAGAGAGAGAGAGAGCATGGTGGAAGACTTCCATAGCCGCCAACCTTGACGAAGGACGAGAAAGACGAAGGAGGAGGAAGACGACAAACGAGAGAGAGAGAGAGAGAGAGAGAGAGAGAGAGGAGCCAAGTTGGATGAGTGGCCATAGCCGCAAGCTCGGACGAAGGAGACCAGAGTGACGGGAGAAGAGAGAGAAGGGAGAGAAGCCATAGTCGGTGGTGAAGAAGGAGTGCAACGAAGGAGGAGGTGGGCAGGCAGAGAGAGATCGAAGCGAGCGAAGAAGTCTTTGGTTTTGAGGAGGAGAGGAAGCGAGTGATCGAAATGGCTTCTGCTGGTAAGTACTAAAACTATTCTTGTCTTCTTCTTCTTCTTCTTCTTTTCTTTCACATTGTTTTCTCCTTCTTCTGTTTCTTCTTCTTCTTTTCTTTTCTTCCACATTGTTTTCTTCTTCTTCTGCTTCTTCTTCTTCTTCTTCTTCTTTTCTTCCACATTGTTTTCTTCTTCTTCTTCTTCTTCTTCTTCTTCTTCTTCTTCTTCTTCTTCTTCTTCTTTTCTTCCACATTGATTGATTGATTGATTACTTAGCGACCTGGTCGCAACCTTGACGCGATGCGGAAAGTGCGCCACGTGCGGTGTTCGGCACGTGCGAAGCACGACACGTGGCAAGTACGCCACGTGGCAAATGCTCCCTCCCCATGGTGGGGGATTCGGTGAGGCCGCACTTGCCATGTGACGCACTTCACACGTGTCGAACACGTGGGAAGTGAGGGCTCACGGAATGGCCCGCTATGGTGAGTGCGTACTTGCCACGTGGCGGCACGTGCCGCATTTGACACATGGCTTATCGATCAATCAATTAATTAATCAATCAATCAATCAACCAATCGATTGATTGATCGATTGATTGATTGATTGATTGATTGGTTGGTGACCTGGCCGCAACCCTGACGCGACGTGGAAAGTTTGCCACTTGGCAAGTGCGCCACGTGCGATGTTCGACACATGCGAAGTGCGGCACGTGACAAGTACGCCACGTGGCAAATGCGCCCTCCCCATAGTGGGGGGAAAAGCTTCCACTTCCCCCCCCGCTTTGTTTTTTTTAGTTTTTTTTTTTTTGACTGATTGATTGATTGATTGATTGATTGATTGATTGATTGGTGGGGGAGGGGTCGCCCCCCCCACCTCCGGTGACCTTCGTACCTCCGCCTTCCGCGCTTTCAATCAATCAATCAATCAATCAATCAATCAATCAATCAATTTCGATCAATTGATTGATTGATTGATTAATTGATTGATTGATTGATTCAATCAATTTCGATTGATCGATTGATCGATTGATTAATTGATTGATTGATTGATTGATCGATTGATTGATTGATTGATTGATTGATTGATTGATTGATTGATTCAATCAATTTCGATTGATTGATTGATTGATTACTTGGCGACCTGGCCGCAACCTTGACGCAATGCGGAGAGTGCGCCACGTGGCAAGTGTGCCACGTGCGATGTTCGGCACGTGCGAAGTGCGGCACCCATCGCCACCTCCGCTTTCCGATCCCGATCCCGCTCCCGTCGCCACCTCCGCTTCCCGATTCCGCTCCCGACCCCGCGCCCTGCGTCGCCACCTCGACGTCGCCACTTCCGCTTCCCGATCCCACTACCGATCCCGCGCTCTGCGTCGCCACCTCCGCTTCCCGATCCCGCTCCCGATCCCGCTCCCGATCCCACGCCCTGCGTCGCCACCTCCGCTTTCCGATCCCGCTCCCGTTGCCATCTTCGCTTTGCGATCCCGCCTCCGCCCACATCCGCCCGGTGTCGCCACTGCGCCTAGCTCCGTGGACCTCCGCCTACCTCCGCCTACCTCCGCCTAGCTTTCTGATCCTAATCCCGATGGCCTTCGCCTGCCTCCGCCAGGTTCATTAGGAACACGGCCTACCTCCGTGGACCTCCGCCCACCTCCGCGTCGCCATCTCCGCCCGCCTCCGTGGACCTCCGCCTACCTCCGCCCGCCTCCGTGGACCTCCGCCTACCTCCGTGGACCTCCGCCCGCCTCCGCCCGCCTACGACCAATCCCGACGTCGTCCGACCGCCTCCGCCCGCCTCCGCCCACATCCACCCGGCGTCGCCACCTCCACTTCCGCTTCCACATCCGGATCCTGATGCCAATCCCGACGACCCCTTCTCCACCAATCAATCAATCAATCAATCAATCGAAAAAAAGAACGTGAAAAAAACGAAGCGGGGGGAAAAACTTCCGCTTCCCACCCCGTATCGTTTGTTACACTTTTTTTTTCCGATTGATTGATTGATTGATTGATTGATTGGTGGGGGAGTGTTCGCCCCCGCCACCTCCGCGGACCTTCGCCTACGTCTGCGGAAAAAACAAAAGTGAAAAAAACGAAGCGGGGGGGGGAAGCGGAAGCGCTTCCCCCCCCCCCCCGCTTCCGTTTTTTCACTTCTTCTTTTTTTCCGATTGATTGATTGATTGATTAGTAAAGAGAGAAAGAGAGAGAGAGAGAGAGAGAGAGAGAGAGAGAGAGAGACAGACACACACACACACACACATTTAGTAGTGCACGGTTTGAAAATGGCTTTTTCATTTTTATTTTTATTTTTCCTTTTTATTTTTTTCATTGAGTGATTGATTGGTGGCGAAGGTGTCGTCTCCCCCACCCTCACATCCGCGGAGCTTCGCCTACCTCCGCGGACCTCCGCGGACCTCCGCCGACTTCCGTTGACTTCCGCGGACCTCCGCGGACCTCCGCCCCCCTCGGCGCATTCCGCCCGGCGTCGCCACCTCCATTTCCGCTTCCTGATCGCGATCTCGATCCTCATCCAGGCGACCCCTCCAGAGAGAGAGAGAGAGAGAGAGAGAGAGAGAGAGAGAGAGAGAGAGAGAGAGACACACACACACACACACACATTTAGTTGTGAGTGGTTTGAAAGCGGCTTTTTCGTTTTTTTAATCTTTTTTCCTTTTTTTTTTTGATTGATTGATTGTTTGGTGGAGAAGGTGTCGTCTCCCCCACCCTCACGTCCGCGGAGCTTCGCCTACCTCCGCGGACTTCAACCTACCTCCACATACCTCCGCCGACCTCCGCTGACTTCCCTTTATCTCCGCCTAGCTCCGCCTACCTCCGCGGACCTCCGCCTACCTCCCCTATCCCGATCCCGACGCCCTCCGCCCGCCTCGGCCCTCATCCGCCCGGCATCACCACCTCTATTTCCGCTTTCCGATCCCCATCCCGATCCCCATCCCGATCCCCATCCCGATCCCCATCCCGGCAAACCCTCCCCCACCAATCAATCAATCAATCAATCAATCGAAAAAACAAAAGTGAAAAAAACGAAGCGGGGGGGGAAGCGCTTCCCGCTTCGTTTTTTTCATTTTTTTTCTT